AGAGAAGAAAGGAGGAGAAGGGATCGCAGCAAGGCCATCCCCACTGGGGGGCGATTTCTCGCTTTCTATCTCTCTGTCTCTATCTTTCTGGCGAGTGCACGCGCACTATAGCAAAAACCTCTCCAAAGGGGGAAAAAAAACAACTGTTCCCAGTTATTTTTCATTTATTTATTTAGAGAGATTTCTGCTATAGAGCATGTGCGCTTGCCAGAAAGACAGAGAGAGACAGAGACAGAAAGTGAGAAATCACCCCTGCCGCAATCCGTTCTCCTTTCTTCTCCTCTCAGGATTTTGGGCATGAATGTACATGAGCCTGGCACAAGTTTTAAGCCGCCGAGTCTGGAGCATGAACCATGGTTGACTACAAGGGAGTCCAGCAACATAACCACTATGCCACCTACTGGTCCCCCCTTTCCAGTTATTTACAAAATTTTTAAATGGTTTCAACAGACTTTTTTTTTTCTCAATCAATGAAAAATGATACAGTTATAAGAAGAACATTCTTATTTTTAAAATAAAGAAACAAAAAATACTCCTAAAACAAAACTTCTCTAAGACTTTTTGAAGTTTCTAGATTTTCAGTAGATTTTTAACAAGATCCCTTTTTAAAAATTTTCCTGTCTTAGTGTCAATTTTATAAGATTTTTTAATGCTAATGTCTTCATCTTTTACGATGTAGAAAAGCATTCTACACAATTTTCATTTACTTAAATGTTAATCATCAATAACAATTTGAATGCATTGTATAAACACAAACATGATAATTATAAATGAAGATTCTAGAGCTATAAAATGCATGTGGCGCAAAATATCTTATGAGAAACTTGAACATTAAATTGAACCTATATGATTCACAAAGTGTATAAATGTCTTAAAAGCCAAGGCAATTTTCTTTTTCACATTTGGAACAGTTAGCACTGGGTTTGGCCAATAGAAAAATACTTACTCAAAAGCAACATATGTCAGGAGAGTTGCTGCTGAAAAAATTGCAGATAATCCACACCCAATATAGGTGATGAACGTGAGAGCTTTCATGTTTTGGGCATCCGTGTGGTTCTTTCTTTCAAGATCCTATACAAAATATGGGAAGCAGTTGTAAGAATCTCCCTTTTCATGAGTGTGGTGCTTTGGTTCACTAGAATGTTCATTGCTAACATCACAGCAATTCAACCTTGGGCTAAAAATAAATGTAAACCAATATTGAAAATTTTATTTACTGTACTCTTTGAAGTATAGTACATGAAAGAAACAGACACTACATGAAAGAAAAACGCAGTGTCATTGCAGAAAGGAGTTGCACTTTTTTTTCTTTTTTAGTCATTTGCCTCTTACTCAATCTCTTTGCTCACCAGTATAACTTACAAGGGAAACCACCAGGTTCCCTCACAGCAATTGAAGAGAAGGTAGTTGCTTTGCATAAAAAACCATCAGGCCCGTTTCTAACATTTGCGGGGCTGGGGCATAAGTGCAAACGGAGGCCACCAGAACCCACATGATCACGCCTTCAGACTCAGATTTCTTACCAACCAGGGAAGAGCCAGACAGGCAAGCACTGTGGCATCTGGCTTAAGGGGTGGTGTCGAGGCGCCTAACCATGGCCATGTTAAGGCTTGATATGTATATTGCTTATTGATTTTTTTATAAGTGAGAAGCCACTAAGTTCTTAGGTCATAGTTTCTTGATCCCTATAGATCTAAAAGGAAACTCAGTTTAAAGTGTTAGGGGTTGTGGTGGAACAGAAAGTAGTCAGCACTTTCCAGCATATTATGAGGCAGACAAGATAAGAATACCTTTTTTGATTCCTGAAATGGGGAATCAGGATAGGAATAAACCTTGTTGTTATTCAAACACACAGTCCTAGTTGGGGGAGAGAGGTGACTTTATTATGCAGATGTTTGAAATGGAGCCTTCTTGGAGAAGAGCTCTTTTTGATTTTCTGAGTGAAAATGTCATTTTAAACAAATTTATTTCCTTGTTCCTGAGAAAGAGTATTCTAAAAACAGCATAGCCAATGTACAATCACGTTGCTGCAGAACATTAAATTAGTATAACCTTTTAGAATCACATGAGATGACAAGTTGTTAAAATGACATTTTCA